GCCATTTCCTTCAAAAACGTCGTAGAGATAGACATAAATCTATTCAAAGATGTGCAGTTCATGGAGACAACTGGGTGATAACGACAAAATAAAATGGCATAAATACGATGCATTTTGATGGATGGATAGAAAAATTAGGTAGCGCAGTGATTTAAAAAGGCTACCGTGTTCGCTAAATGTAATTAAACAAGTGATATCCCTTCTATTCAATGAGCTATCACAGTGTGCAATGTGATGAAATCATTGTTGTCAAGTGTCTGTCGTCTTAAAGAAAGAAATCATCCCGTAGAACTGCAGAAAATTCGCCAATAGGTCTCTTCATTGATTACTGATGAATATAAAATCACTGAATAATGAAACAATCGCAAGCCAACATGAACGGGACAGTTTATCAACTTCCATAGCTTTATCCCACTGATCCGAAAGCAAAACCTGGTACGCACATTAAGTTCAAGGATTAGAAAGATAGAGAAAGAATTAAATGTGTTACGTGAAACCCCACTAGAAAACGGGTATCCACCAAGATTCATCGACAAAAACGTGGAGGAAAAGCCTCTGTCGCCAAAAGTCACAAGTGTTCCTAAGAAAACCCTTTTCATGAACCTGGATTCAAAGGTGACATTGCAGCAGAAATTCTTGGAAATCGCCTTTCTGAATGTCTGAAGAAGACATTCCAAGCAGTCACCTTATGCATCACATTCTCCAGCAGACATTTAATCCAGTCTAACGTTAAGGATAAGTTACCGCTATTGGCCAACTCAGTGTGTATTTATTTATCAGTTTACTTGTTCGTGTAAAGTAAAGGATATCGGCCACACTCAACGTCAAGTCCGAAAACGTATTCTAAAACACTATTCAGCTTGGCTAGCCAAAGGAGAAAAGAAGAATACTAGCAGCTCCATCCTCGAACACCTTATCAACTCTGGACATCAAGTACCCGTCGCATAAATGATTCACAGTGCTATACAAAGTCCCTCAGTATCGTACAAAAGGACTTTGCGTACGCCATCAGTACATAGCTGAATTACTGGCTATTCGGGATCTGAAACTGGACCTCTACATTCAAAAGCGCTTCATACATTCACTCACCCTACCATAACCAGAGTAAAGTTCTTACTATGATTTTGCTTCTTCTTTTTTATGTTGTAAGTTTACTATTATTACTGTTATTACTACTATTACTTTATTATCACTATTATTCCCATCATTCATATTTTATTACCACTTTGTTACTGTTTATTAATAACATTGCTTTTACAAACAGATTTTATATAAAATAACACTTTATCGCCTTTCCACTAGTTTCTGTTCATTCTACATGAGCTTATTGAATAGTCATTACCTAACACTTATTACATCATGCCAACCACTGCCTCGTTTCTAATTTCGAATTAGTCATTCCTTCTAGGTTACACCTTACATTGTGTAATACATTTTTCCAGGACAAGGTTTACCAGTATATGATCAGTCTAATGATTTCTTTGTTAAATATAATTACGATTGTACAGCTCATGAAAATGAATCGTCGGAACAAGAATTTTCTTCACTGTTTACGCCTTTTTTCTTATGACTCAGTATGGGAATATTTCGTTCATTAAAATGAAAAACAACAACAACAACAACATCCTTTTCAATAGTTTTTTCCTTCATCAGGTTCTACAGACATATTTAAAAATTAGTTATTTAAGGAATAATTGTTATTGACAGAGTAAATGTGTTTCTTTTTTGAATAACATCAAAGCAGTAAGCTGAAGAATTCAAAAGGTATATCTGAGTAAATTGTTACTGGGTTACAAGTCAAAAGATTGTGTGTGTGTATTTGATAATATGTATAAATGCAACGGTAAATTGTGAACATCATTTATCAAAGTCAATGATCACGAATGAAGATGAATATAGTTGTAATTAATGATTCTGATTAATGCTCTAACAAAATTTTATTCTTTATGATTATAAACTTCATATGAATGAATGGTAACATCACAAACGGAGGGGAAAATGGGATAAAAGGTTATGTGTCTGTGAATAACCAGTAAATAGTGGATGAATTCTGTTGAAGAATTATAAAAGGGGAAATCTATACACACAGGACTAAAGCTGTAATCTAAAAAATATAACGTAGCACAATATTTATGGATTAGTAGATTCCACAGCAGGCCAATGTATTAATAGTGGGTGGATTTGTTTATGTTTAAACAAAGCTCTGGTTGTTTCAAGAGAAATACCTCTGCTGTCTTCTACAGTCTGAAGTATGTCATACTTGGTGGCTTTTGGCAATTTATTAGGTACATACATGACAGACACCAGGAAAGGATTCTTCGGTGTTGGCTTTATGATCTTTTCGGTCAGATGTGTTAATATCAAGCTTAAAGTACGTTTTATTACAATATTCTTTAGCCAAACTGGTAGTTCTTCCAGAGCAGAAAAATATGAAGTTCTTAGGCTAAAGGCCAATGTGACTAGCTTCACAACAGCACCTGATTTCGTAAATGTGGTAACAGGTAGCTAGTCTAGACATTTCAGATTTTAGATTGTGCATCATAACCAGATGTTCAGAATATATGAAATGCAGTGTGCCAGCATTAAAAGTCCTCTGAATAGATGTCCTTGACTTGCTGAATACTGCTTCACTAGATAAGTTACCTCTAAATTGTATTTGCACATAGAGTCGCTTCTAGTTTGCAGATGAAAAGTGTTTCTTTTTAATCTTTGGAGTTATCTGCTTCCTTAGACTTTGCATTGAAGACTGTATATACGGTTTTGTGCTCATCTTTAGTGACAATGCGAGTTGAAGACTTGCAAAGGTTGACTGCTTTCGATCATAGATGTCTGCGATCTCTGTCTCACGTTAGGTGGTTTAATAAGGTAAGTAATGTTGACGTTAGGCGTAGAGTGTTGGGCAAACAGGGAAAATCAACCGACGAGGCTATAAAGTTACATAGACTAAGATGGCTAGGTCACGTGCTGCGCATGCCTAACCATCGCCTCCCCCGACGGGCATTACTAGCTGATATAGGTGCAGGTTGGAAAAGAGTAAGTGGTGGCCAAACAAAAACATGACCATCAATCCATGAAATCCTTGACAGTTAAACTGAGTCGGTCAGGTAGGGAGATGCAGACTTTCGGGTTGGGGCCGTCGGGACTCTAGGAATCAATGGCTGGAGACAATAGGTGACATGGCTCAAAATCGTTGTCAATGGCGCAGATGTATTCAGTCTCTGTAATCTTTCGTATTCCTTTCTACCATTACCCATTCTGTCTCGCTCTTATACTGTGAAACTCTATTGATTCTGTCCACTCATCTTCTTGTCTACCTTTGTGTGCTATTTGGAAAGTGGCAACTGGAACTGCTGCACTTCGGTGACAAGTTCTATGTCGAATCCAGACAGACAGACATCTTCTAAACATTGAGCTTTCATTCCATTATGAGCAAATTTTGTTTTGATAAAGTCTCACAGTCTTATACAGTAATGTTTACTGATGACGTTTCGAGCACAATTTATTGCTCATAATCATATCAAGGTAATCACACGACTTCCTAAATTCATTTATATAGTTCCATTGTTTTTCTCTTGATTTTCACTTGATTTGATTGGTAATAGTATTTTCATATTTCAGGTATGAGTGACGAGTCATTCCTATTGCATGTGTTGGGTGTAGACTCGATGAACAAGGATTCAGTAATCAAATTACCAATCAAATCAAGTAAAAATCAAGAGAAAAACAATGGAACTATATAAATGAATTTAGGAAGTCGTGTGATTACCTTGATATGATTATGAGCAATAAATTGTGCTCGAAACGTCATCAGTAAACATTACTGTATAAGACTGTGAGACTTTATCAAAACAAAATTTACCCATAATGGAATTACACTCTACCACAGTGCACAAGTTTTATTCTTATATCAATTGAGCTTTCATCCTGTAGCTGAATTTCACTGCTAAATTCTTTTCTACTGGAGAGAAATGAAGCTGTGAAAATTTTCATCTTGTCTAGTTCAGGTACTAAGCTTAAGCAGTTTTCGTTTCCTATTACAATCTAAACATCCAAAAAGGCAAATTCAACCTACTATTTAGGGACAGAATTGCTTATTTGTCAGAATAATGTACACTGATGACAAAATATAAAAACCTTTCATTAAGATTTGAATCTACAAACAGTATTCGTATTCTTCTTCTCTTGTCTCCATTTCATACTAGTCATATCGTTTCACAATAATCTTCATTTCACTTCTTTGAAACTTGAAACTTTGTCCATCACTCCACTTTTTAAGACTGTTGTAATGGACGTCACAAATGTACTACTTGTCAATTACTGTTAGTAATATGATCCAGAATTGTTAAATATTTTCTATGCACTTCCAACTGTACTGTGATAAAATTGATATAAAAAGCTGTGTTAGACTAGACTTATTAAAGTGTGGTAGGAATCCACTAAATTAGGGGGTGAGTGTTAATGGTTCACTTGGATAGTGCTTTCAAAGGTAAAGAAATTCGGCATACAACGCATAATAAGTACTTTTCGTGAAGCCCGCACAATTAGTGCTAATAAGTGTGGAATACAAGAAAAGTAAGAGTTCTGATTTATTCAAAAACTGAATGTTTAGATTTTTTAATTATACTGCTTTTCAAGCTTCATTTTGATAGGCTGTGTGGCGTCCATTTTGTTTAAAAACTGTTTGCTTAACACATAGTTCCTCCTCCAATCTTTTAGAACTATGCTATGTAGGTATGCTGCTGAAGGTTTATCTAACCCAGGTGTTGAATGTGAGCGTCGATATGTGACACTGACCGTCTCCGGCGTCTTCTGTATACGTTTATTTCAGTGTTATAGGAAGTCAGTTATATTTGTTACTATTTACAGCCTAACTGTGTACAGAATATTACAAGTTTGTATTTTCAAGTGAAATGATTAGTCTCTTTCTTATTTTATATAATATGACTACTGTCTAATTAATTTGTTTCTCTCTTTTTTATAAAATAAATTCTCTTTTCAAGGTATGCGTTGAAGAAACAATGACAGATATTCTTGTACGTTATTTGAAATTCAATGCACACGCAGCTTCATATACATGGAAGTATAATGGTGTTGTATTAGACATGGAGAAAACACTTGAAGAGAATAATGTCAAGGAAGAGACACAAGATATTGAAGATTTATTTATGCCACAGATATACCTATATTATAATGATGATTTGACTGAAGCTTAAACAGAAAATTATTTTCTTACTGAAAGTCACTATTATCATTATTCGAACATTTATGTGTATGTGTATATCAGCTACCAATATCATTGTTACGTATTCTCATTTGAAAAATGCAATTATTTAGGCAGTCTTCTTATTATATTACCTTATATTCTAATTATTTGTAGTGGAATAAACTTTGAATAGGAAGATATCTTGTTGAATTAGAGTGTATTGAAGATTTAGTCCTTCCAGACGAAGATCCTAACAAAACATAGCCTTCTCAACACTTTGAACAAACTTCATAGTCAGGTTTGGAATGCGATTCACCACTCAGTTTAAAGTAGGATGATGCCATACCAACTTTCAGTTTAAGAACAGGAAGTGAAATGGTTTAGAAAGTTACAGTCACTGAAATGGAATGACTGCTGACGAAGTTTTTAGTACGTATTTGAAAGGCTGGTAAAACATTTTCCAACTTGTGTCACATTTGGTGCATGCATGTGCTGTACCCGCCTATTCATTAAAAGATGTGTCTATTGTGCAGCATTTCACATTGTCCTGCTTTATAGCTTTGATATATACCATCAGAAGTGGAGGAGATTGATTTATTTTCTAATGGATCCGGGTTCAATCTCTTGTGTTAGGCGTATAATATAGTTAGACGTACTGTAAGGTAAGATGGTAAAGTTAACGGCATGTATGTGATTTCCTTGCAACTGTGATGGTTAGAATATGTATCACGCATGCTTAACCATCGTTTTACTCAATTATCAATCTTAGCAGATACAGGAAAAGGTTAGTTAGCAAAACGTTGGGAATGGTTAGAAGAAAAGTTGCATTAATCCATCAAGTCTTTGGCCGTTAATTTAAGCCACGTACGATGGTGTAGACAGCTTGGTTTAGATCCTTGGAATACTTACTACAAATCAATGGTCGGACACTGACGGGGATGTGGTTAAAAATTGTACTTAGTGCTTCTTACATTTCATTCCTTTTATCCTTCAGATTTCGAATATCTTTCCTAATCTTCATGTAATCATTCCTTCGCTCCTACATTTTTGTCTATCGGAATTTCGCTGAACTGATTTTCTTTACTTTTATATATTCATTTTGAGAGCAGAGCAACTTGAATTAGTGTACTTCCGAGTAAATTTTTTTTTATAACGGTACATTTCAGGTCATTTCTACAAGCCAGTACAAATTAGTAAACAATGAAAAGTAATCAAGCACCAGAAAACGGCTTCTTTCTACCTTGGCACTTTTCAATATAGAGAACTTTCGACTTCATGAAAGGTTTGACCGTCAAGTATTATTATGAGAATAATCGTTATTATTCACTTTTGGGGTTGAAATCCAGTGAGCTGTATTTTGAACCCCTTTGTGACATACCGCATCACCAAGTGATATCATCGGCACGTAAATATCGCCGGAGTTGTATTGATGAACCCCACCAGGCATGACTTGGAAATAGAGTTTACAGAAATTCATCTCAAAAATAATTCTGATAAGCATTCGTTTGTTATGACTTTAGAGGGCTCGTAGATAGTTTAGTGAATTGAAACTGCCTGAGAAGGCTGTTGGTCTTGAATAGTGTTTTGAAAACTCCAATACTCCACGATCCATTCCAGTGATTTAAGTTTGTGTCATTCTTTCCAGTAACTGCGCTTTCATTACAACTGGTGACAGGTTAACCAGCATGTTAAGAGCATTTACCAGGGAAATCATATTATGATACACCTTTTTACTAGTGTCGAGAGAGTTTTTTTAAGTATTCTAATTTATGAAATATCCACTTAACTACCCTTAGAGTAGTATGACCTGAAACTGTTAATTCTTTTCAAATCTGAAGATTTGAAGGATTAGATTTTTGATATGGTGGAGTGGGCTAAGTAATACCTTCAATGGCAATGAAAGAAATCAGGTAACTCAAGTGAAAACTAAACGTAACTGGTGTGAAGTCGGAAATCATCCGAGATTTATCCTGCTCTCATCACGGGCTAAAATTAGCTAGAGGACCATTAAAGTCCAATTATTACTGGGTAGTTGTTTCGTCCTAGTTTAGGACTATTCATCAGCATGCGCCTACCGACATTCGAATCTGGAACCTCCTGGTTACAAGGTGAGTTTGTAGATGACTTGGACATCAAGACCCGACACAGTGACCCATGGACTGCAACTTCTGGCGATTCACTATGTATACAACGTAACTCATCCCTCACCTGACTTGGTGATCCCTCACAGGTCATGACTTCTCACAAGAACTCCAGACAACTCCCTGTATAGAGCCAGTTGCTGCTGAGGAGTTCCAAACTAGGAAGAGACAGCCACAGAATATTCCCTGGTTTTCCAATGATATTGTAACTGATGTCAACTGATGGTGAAATCTGAAATCCACTACTTGAAAATTATCCTGTCTAAGTAGCAATATGAATCTAAATTTGAAACGCAAAATCTTCCACTTCAACAGTTAATCACTTCAAGTGTCGATTTCAGATTAAGTCGATTCCTAACAACTTTTCCATATCTACAGTATCACGTGAAGCAAATTAGTTCTCATGTATACACTTTTGGATTTACGATAAGCAACTATGAAATTTCATTGTTTCAGAAGTATTTATGATTTATCTATGTGCAGCGAAGCATGCTAAAGGAAATGTAAGTTTTCCAAATTAAATTAAATCATGCAGACAAAAACCATATATGAAGAGAAATGTCTTATAGATGATTCTATGAATGAAAAAAATTGTTAGTTGTTTTGAAAATTACACGAGGTTAACACAAGAGCTAAACTAAACTTTCTCAACTTCTCCTTTAATATATGAAGTTAGGCAAACTGTTACGCAGAACATTATACAGACAGTGATGGTGTATCTTTATCCATAAAAAAAATGGTTCCACTCAGCCTACAGGACATAAAATTGAACAGAATCTTTTGTCATTCACAAAACAGGCTAAAGGCTTTATAATAGTGTTTCTGATGTTTCAGAGTAACTAAGATGTTGAAGACGAAGTTTCCTGTAATCTTTCGACTACAAACGCTGTCAGATAAGCTGTCAGTTCAGTGTGTTATTTTTTCAGTGAGTCAGTTGACAGATTATTCAAAATTTCACTAAAAACTGTTATTTTATCTACTTAAAAAATAGTCATGCAGACAATTTTCAAGACTTGATCATTAGGAGGCTCCCTATCTATAACAATACTGACAATGCTTTATTTCATACAGTTTGTGAACATATATTACAAAAACTTAAAGCATATTCCCTCTCCATACAGGCTATACTTGTAAAGTAATAATCTGAAGTATATCATATGAGGTAGTGTTGCTGCATATGTGGAGAGATCCAATTCTGTAAGCTTTTTGTTCATTTTCTCTAAGAATTGTACAGCGTCTAGTTAGAAGCTAAATAAATCTGCGCACAAGTTCATGTAGTGGTCAGCTGATATAATTGCATAATTTAAACAACAAGAAATACAGAAAGTTTCAGCATTTTGATGGATGTAAATTCTGGTAGTCCAGTGATTTAAACAAGCCTCCAATTTTCATGCTTGTGGATACTCAGCAACAAAGCATACCTGTAATCTTGAGAAGAAGGGAGATAACAGTTGATTCACAATGTAACCGTATTATTTACCTCAGGTGAAAGCTAATTTTTTAGTCAGATTCTTAGCGTTGACCAAAGTTTATCAACAAAGTCTTCTATACAGTCCTACCATAATTAAGGTTTGAGTTTATTGTATAGAGATAAAGATCTTTTATGGAAGGTCGTGGGTTTCTGTAGTCAGAATTATTTCATTTTTTTGCATTCCTAGTCAAACATTGGAGGGCTTCAAGCATTAAAGTTAGCATAGTGGTGGTGATGGTGTGATTTGCAGCACACGTCAGGTGGCTAGCCACGTCACAACCTCCTCTCTTTTCCTAGCCTACTATTATCAGCTAGTAAACTAGAATTGCCTCGTCCGGGAATTAAATCTGGAACTCCCGTGTGGTTGAATAGTATTCAAACACTGAGCCACCAGCTCCCTGTATACAAATTTCGTGTATTCTTTATTCTCCAAACAGTTAAGCAGAAGGCCCTTGGATATTAACTGCAACTGCGATTTCGCCTTCCAGAATTACTCAACGTCTATACATTTGAACATCTATTTGAGCGGTATTCATTTCACATCAAAAAATATTATTTGATGGGTGGAATGACAATTACCAAATGCAATATTTTTCAAATTCTTCCAGTGGATTGTCAACTTCTATTTTACTTTAACTTCAGTTGAACACAATCTGAGCATTCACAAATGACAGAAGTCCAGTGAAAATGGTAAAAAAACAACAGGTAAAATTACAAACTACACTGATAACACTATTGATTATTGATGACATTTTTAGTGGTTACCATCTAATCAACAAACGTGTGAGTACCAACTCCGTTTATATCAGTGCATAGTCAATCAACTTCAATATTTGTAAATATGTATATGCCGTTCAAATAAAAAATAGGTCAGAAAACATAAACGTCACTCCAAATAAAAGCGGTTTCTTGGGAATCCTTTCGGTAAAAGTATGAAAGATGAAGTTATAAACCTATTAACAGATTCGGTTTTTTTTCAACAAATTGCACAGTTTATCAAATAAATACTGAAGTCAGCTGACGGAAAACCGTGGACTTATGTCTTGTAAATATTGATGCTTGTCGGTAAGGCACGTCTGCAAACCTTGAAGGAACTGGTGTCCACCTGTAGCCTGATGTTGAAATCAGGGATACCAGCACTACCGAATACCACCGATCCTCGAGTAGTTATAATAATATTAATTCAAAGCGCACTGCGATGGTGAGATCAACGGCTTGGTGAATACATTAAAAATCTGAACCATATGGTATTCGATCAGTACCAAGACTAAGGCCTAAACATGTCACACTGTTATGCCAAGTGGGCGAGCAACATCATTTTGCAGTAGAATGCAAATAATTAAAAAAACACAAAACACTTATTTCGAATTGTAACATTTTTCATGTGTTATTAATTTT